ACAACCTCTCGTCAATATGCGTTTTTCGCATTGCATTGCTGCAAAAAACGCATAAAAACGCACATTATGAGAGGCTGTCTGTATGTGTGTGTGTTCGAAAGCGAGTGAACTTTTTCACCCCTTTTCATTTCATCAACCAGGAAAGCTAGAAAGCTGAAGTTTTGGTTATATTTTCTTAACCTTGTGCCATCCTTCCGCTTTAAATTTTTCACTCATACGCGCCTAGATTCCCCGTACGGACCTCCGAAACAAATACGCAGATTTCTTTGGCGGGAAACGATATCGCGAACCAGGCAGCGCACAAAGCTGAAACTTTGCAGGGATATTCTTTGTGCATGTGCGAGCTAAAAATTTCAAATTCAGCTGTCGCGCATGCTTTTGCAGCGTGTACGATCACGTTACAGTTTACAACTTGGCGCTGTGCTAACTCGAAAACTTGCCGGAATACAGCAGCTAAAATTTTGTCAGCAAATTTACCGTTCATATGGGAAGTCGAACACCTAAAATAAGCACCAATTTGCAATTATGCCACAACTTAGGGCACTTCAAAGATATTCTTTTTTTTGGCGAAGTAGCTATTTCGCTTACTAGATAAGGTGCGAGGTTGAAACTTCGCTGTGATATTCTATTTTTATGTATGGTCTTAATTCTGCTTGGAAGTGAAATTCCCTGCAGATAGTTATGAGAAGTACTCAACTTTACCAAAAACTCAGAAACGAGTGCATTTTGCAACGAACGATCGTCATCACCTTCAAGCAGAATTCTCTCAACATATAAATGAACTCATTTACATATATGGATTTTTTGACGAACGATCGCTCTAGCAACATTTCCGTTATTCAGTGAAATGGAGATTCGAATTTTTTCGAAGAGCGAGCATTTACGAGAAAAACGATGGGGCTTCACGCAAACCCACGTAGAACGCACCAGGCTTGCCGGTGCGACCATATGTTTTTGCACCAGACTTAAAGTAACCAGGTCATTTTAATTGCATAAATAGTTGCTGCGTTACACCTACCTTTTGCGCTCACTAGTGTAAATCACCGTAAATTTTGCATAAAGTAAATGTGCAATTTCCATTTAAAGGTCGTTCTTTGAAAAGTAACGTAGCTGCTCAGTGAGCAGTTTTCCCATCAAAACTTTTAAGTGCCCGTACGTAAGAACCACGCATAACTGAAGGCTAAATTTGGAATATTTGAGCTGTATTTGGACAGGGAACATCCCCCTAAAATTTCAGCTTTCTAACTTTTCTCGAGTCAGTAATTTTCCTGCCAAAACTTTCCCATGCCCATACATGGGTACCCCAGGTACTTGGGAAGCTGAATTTGAAATCCTTAAGTTGCATGCAGACGGGGAACATCGCTTTAAAATTTCAGCTTTCCAGCCTTTCTGGTTACCGAGTTAGCAATTTTCCCGTCAAATCTTCCACATGCTCGTAGGTGAGAACCATGCAAACCTGAAGGCTACATGAACAAGGAATATCCTTGCCAAATTTCAGCCCCTTATCTTGCCTGGTTCCCGAGATCGCCTTCCCGCCAAAAAATCTGCATATATTTTTAAGACGTCCGTACGCGGCACGCAGGCGTAAACGGCTCATGATATTAAAACGAGAGGGTCACGCATGCTGTGGGCATATACTCCCAAAGTTTCAGTCCTCTAGCCTTCCTGGATCTCGAGTTGAAAGCGGGTGACAGAAAGTATGAACACACAGACACACACACAACCTCTTCCCAATATGTTTTTGCAATTTGCATATATGCAAAAACGCATAAAAACTGATAATCATGTACCTGAAGGTCCACGCTGTCTTATAACACAAAACCTTCATCTCAGCCGGCGTCCTTTCTGCTGCATGCCGGAAAAGGCCAGAACACGGCCAATATAAGCCCAAGTGTTAGTTCAGGGAATGATCCCCTGCTATTAGCAGTCTTTGAGTTTAGTGCAAAAACGCATGATTGCACCGACAAACCTGGTGCAATCATGCGTTTTTGCACTAAACTCGCAGACTGCTAATAGCAGGGGATCATTCCCTGCGCTGGGTTAATTTTCCTACAGCGATCTCTTGGAAACCATCAGTAAAGCAAAAAGTTTACCTGCGCACGAAGCACTTTGGCTTCCTCTGCTTCCAGAGCAGATTCTGCATCATCGAGAGCTTTCTGTAGTTCTTCCTTTTCGGCTTCTAAACGGCGCACCATCTTCTGCAGTTCATGAACAGAGCGGCCCCCTTCAGTAAGTTGATCGGTCAAGTCCTTGATTTCTAATGACAGCGACTTGTTCTCTCGACGCAAGCTTTCCATTTGCTGAAATTCTTATATTAATTCTGTCTAAATATTTGTTGAAATTTTGAACTGATTGACCAATGCTCATGTTGGGTCTACCGTTTGCGTCTTGAGAAGTTAAATCTGGAAGCCTAGGCAGTGGCCGCAGTCTTTTTCCTTCTCATTTAAGTTATTTATATTACGATTAGATTTGTTTGGCGGTGAAATGAAACTGCTGGATGCGGGGAAGATAATCGCCATCAACCTGCATTCAAACAACACTTAGAGGAGCAGACCTCAATGTTTCAACCAGCGAGCGGATGCTGTTGGCAATGCAGTATCATTCGCGTCACTTCTAAGTATTTCTCTTTTCTTTCAAAGAGGATGAAACGCGTAAGGGAAGTTCGACTTTTGACATGATTTACTGTCAAAAGTATAATCGAAGAAATGTACGCCAGAAAAAGAAGTTGGGCTGGTCATGTAGCAAGGATGTCAGACAAACGATGGACGAAGCGGATAATGGATTGGTACCCAAGCGCGATGAAACGAACACTGGGCAGGCCGCCAGCACGATGGCGAGATCCAATCGTGCGCCTTTATGGTGTCACCTGGTCTCGTCAGGCT